AATGCTCAAACCGGACTTCAATTGTAGGAAGATCCAGACCAACTCTGTATCATATTAAAAAGCACATCAAAACCATCTAGTCTAACGACTTAAAACATCTTTATGAGTTTGCTTGATACGACTAAAGTCATTTCTCATAAAGACATTCTCTGGAGATCAAACACCAGAGTATGACTGAAGTTTTAACTAAAAGAGCTTAAAGTTTATACCTATCAATGCGCTGTTTGAGCTTCATCAACAACTTCTCATTATCTTCATCAGCAATCTTGACTAGCCTATCTAAAAGATTCCTCCTTTCGATCAAATCAAGCTTTGTTATATCGACTTCTCTAGACTGTCCTTCTTCTTCTAAGAGAAGGCCTCTCCTTATACGACTATAAGTTGGAAGTTTTTCAAGAGCAGCCCATCTCAACGCCTCTTCATCATCGTAATCTTCTCTTGAAGAAGACCTTGAAAACACATCCATAGCACTATTTCTCCATACATTTGAACCACTCAAACGTGCACTACTCACCCTCACAAGATTTTCACCACCCTCCATTTTTTAACATAACAACTTTATATTGAACAAGCTTAACCAAACAAGTTTTAAGAATAAGGGACTTTGATTCTTGAAATTTTGTGTAGAAGGGGTGTGATTTGTGTATACAAGTAAAGAGTATATAATAGACTAGAGAATCAACTTCATGGTTACTAATATAGTAATTTGATGTAAAAGTTGATGTTGAAAAAATCAATGATAGCTGAATTTCGTTGACTAAACTATATAATACAATAGAGGTCCAACACTTCAACTTCATGATAGAATCTTTTTGAGTTATATATGGTTCATTATCATTCTCTCACTAACTATATTCAACCAAACTAAGATAAAATAAAAAGTAATATTAATTTAAGGAGGAAAAAAAATCAGAATTTCTGTTCAAACACGAAAATTGAGTCAACTTCGATAGGTAAAATAGGACAAAATTGAACCAAACAAATTCACTCAATTCAGAATTCGAAAATTGGTTTGAATTATGGTTAATATTTTTGAGAAGGATAATAATAGTTAAATGATTTTATGGTTCTAAACGAAATAACAGTGATTATACCTTTTTTTTTTAGTAAGCAATTCAAAAATTACCATGGTGAATTAAAAGTCAATGGATAATAGTAAAAATATTTCATCTATACAAACAAGAAGATTGAGAATAACTAAAATAACAAGGAGACGTATAATTAATATTGCATAGTTACTTATTGAGAACATGGTAAGGACAAATATCATTTGAACATACTTGTGAAAATAGGTAGACTACCGAATTTATATATTCACTATTAATTGATTTGCATGTTTTAGTTTTATGTCTCTCACAATTAAAGACTTTCTATTATTTTGCTATTTCAAAGCAATTTCTTTTTTTCATGAAAAAATAATATTATACTTATATAAATAATGTTTATTGATTATTTACTTTTAGAAAGGTAATATGTGTAGTTTGATTTATTTTGGTAAAGAAATAATGATTTTTCAATAATTTTTTTTAAAGTTAAGACTATGGTTGATTGTATCTCATGAAATCTTTAAGACTTGCGTTGTTTGTGTTTGTACAATTATGCTACATATTTTATTCTCTATTAACCGCTTTGATTTTCTTAATTCCAAAACCAATTAATTTCTTTAATGCAAATTGTAATTTTAAATGCTCCTTTTTTTCTCTGGCAGCATCTGAGCTTACTTACTACCTAGGAGTACTATTTTATTTAATACTATAATTATCCATTATTAAGTTGAAAGGATTTAAAAACTTCTCACACTTTAATTGACTGTGATTATTCTAAAAATTCTTTTGGCATCTTTATGACTAATTTATTTTGAAAAGTAGGCTAAACAAATTTTCAAATTTATCTTTGCCTAGGCATATCATGACACTGAGACTGAGTAAACGACTGGTAGTACTAAACTACTACTAATTTATCCACCATTTGACTCTTCACATTTTTTTTGGAAAAAAGGTACTTTAATTGTCATTTGTCTCCTCTTTTAGTTGGCTCGATTGTTTGCTTATGAGTTTTAGATTATAATCATTGTTATTAATTGGATCCATAACTATTAACATTGGCTCCATCCATATCTAATTAGGATCAATTATCATTTACCGAATCACTTTATACAAAATTTGTAATCAATCTTTTCTTTTAGGTATCTCAAGACTTTCTTTGCAACTTTCCGGTGATCAATTCTTAGGTTACTCTAAAATATTGAGGTATTTTTCCATGCATAGTATCATGTTTCTCGAGGAACTTTGCAAATGGACCTAGACATCATCTTGATTCGTTGATAAGAAAATATCTCAGAGTAAACTACGAACATATGTGACCCACAAACCACCACTCATTTTGACCCAAAAGACTTTTCTACTAGAAAAAAATATCTATCGATCTGAGAGTTTATAAACATATCTTTATTTCATACCAGTTGGTAATTTTCACATGTTACTTCTAAATAACCTAAGATTCTAGTATAAAATAGAAATGATACTTAGTTGTCATCATACTGAGAAGAACATTTGTTTTGTTAGCTAGATCGCTTCTTGTAGGAAAGGATATGTATAAGCTGATCCTTTTCTCACCTCCACTGGAGGTGTTTTGACTAGATGATTGTAGCTGGAGATTTGTTCCATTTCCCCTCCAACTTTGTATCTTTTTCGGATTAATGGACGTGGTAGGGGTCAAGCCTAACCCTCCACACCAATGACTCACAACCATTGGTGATGATCGCTTTTGGATTTAAAGAATAAAAGTAGATGAGTCAAATTGGATGGATTATGCAATAGAATTGTGAAATTTAGTCAATCAAGATTGAGGATTTTTGGATTGAGAATCAGTTTTCTGTAAGAAAATTCGAGATGAAAGATGTTGATTTACCAGGAAACTTCTTTTTGTTATAATTCATTGTTGTAGTCTAGTAGAACCTTTGTTTTGAGGTTAATACTCCACGTCATATTCTTTAACTGTCTAAGAGGTCTTATGGAGATGAACTGATGAAGAATATACTAGACTAGTAATCAAAGAAGACAAAAGAAGAATTGCATCGAGAACAATAGGAAGAGAAAACCCAAGAATGATGTTTTGTATGCTTTAGTGTGATGGGCAAATTGATATATGCTTAGGTGACTACAAACTAGTTTCGCTAACAAGAAGCTAACAAAGAGAGGCTGCTAAAGAAGAACTTATTCCCATTCCAGATACGAGAATAAGAAGAACAGAAGTACAAGATGACAAGAAGGAGAAGAGGCGAGTACAATTTCACCTCAGATTCACTTACTTGGTAACCTCTTTCGCGGTCAGAGATAGGAAAGAATTCAGTGTGTTTCATAACTTTCTATTGGCAGGTACTTTGCAGTTTGATAAATTCTAGTCATGATTCTCAAGGCAGCAACTAAGGTCCAAGAGGATCATAAGATATCTTCTGAAAACACGTGGAAAAATTTTGTATAGAGAAATGTCGGTGAAACAAGAAAAGTAAAAACTTGATTTTACATTATATAAGAACTGTTGATATATTCTTTTAAGCACGACAAAACTAGCAAAACTTGCAAGAACAAACTTTGATGGATTAAGCTAACTGACCCACCTAACTCAATAATTTTCAATCAGTTTTCAACATTTGTAAGAAAGTAATCACAGCAAGCATTATGACTTGAGGCTTTACTGGCCGTAAAAACAAGTAGAATATGATAAATCACACCACAAAGGAAGAAAAAAAACTGATCTTTAAGAGAGTTGATGGCATGCCCTTGATGTAATGACAATGGTAAAGAAGAGAATTGTCAAGTTCTCCCCCAGAAATTTAAAAACCAAATGATGGATAATTAACTTCATACTCAGCAAAAATGATATAGGTTGCTGGCAGCAGCTGTGTAGGATGCATTGGCTCGTGATAAGTGGACAAACTGGACCAATATGGAAGGCAAACTACTCTGATTTTAGAACCTCTTCTCTTCTTTTTGGAGATAAAGATTCTAATACTACAACTCCTATCTTTGTCTTATCACAAAATGTTTGATAGTTCGTCAACCATGCACAATGTTTTTGCAAAACCATGTATCATAGATCCCAGTGAAGCACAGAGTGAACCTGGTATCCTACAAGAGTGTCCATAATACTTAAACAAACATTAAACTAAGAAGCCTCTTCATCAATCAATTTATTTTCCCTTGCTAATCGAATTGTCTGAACTGATTTCCTTCTAAATTGGTTAATGATCAATATTAAAGATTTATCCTAATTATCAATTGATCCAGTAGGAATCACAAATCAAGTTTTTCTTAGGAGATGCCTAATACCTTTGTGCAATAGTCCTACCAAAGCCTATATCAAGAAATAACTTACAAGACGATAGTCAGGATACCATAATATTCTTATACCAGATTCTATTATTATGGAATATGAGGCAATTATAACACCAATCCGTCCAGGTATATCACTATCTTTAACCCACTCACCTTCAACTGCAAAGTAAGTACTCAAATTTTTCTGTGTAGGTATATATACACAAATACCCATACACTTATGGATTTAAACATACATAACAAGGCCAAAATTGGTAGCACATAGCTCAAATGCAAAGAATAGAACATCTTTTTTTAAAAGAAAACAAGGGCATTGACAAACCGCATAACTGCTATAACTCCAACACATCTAGTGCTGCACAAAGTTGAACACTGCTTTATGCTTTCATTTTCTCCCATAAATTGGTAGCCAACACAACTGCCACATACCACATCGCTTAGTTTTTACCAAAAATCTCAACAGCACTCAACCACAAACAGTAAAATGTGTTCACATAATATCAACTTTAGACAGCATAGGCTCAAAGCAGAAGCAAATAATACTCAATCCAATATCTAATAGAGTAATAGTAATGAAATATCTACTTCTGTTTTGCATTACTCTGCAATAGTTGGAGATAATGGTAAGAAGTCAACAGGAAGAAAACGCCCTTTGATAACTCGATCTTCCATAATCCTGTCACAGATGACTCTCGTCCTACCACATTGAATTCAAATTAATTAGACTTAGAGAAAGGGGCTTAATGACAAGATCGAGAGTCATCTGCGACAGGACTACCGGAAGATGTGAACATCAAAGGCGTCGGAGCGATTCGGAGGAACCTGAAAACTTGCCGGAAGAGAATTTGTAGGGTTAGTAAAGACGATTTGTGAGCTGGCAGATTGTTGAGAATATAATCACTACTAAAATGTAGAATGCACACACTTTAACATGAAGATAATAAAGTTGGAAACGTCTCAGATCAAATTTCATCGCTACTAAAGAAATTTATTGAGAATTTGCAGCGAGATTTTAGTGAAATTCTTTTTTTAATTAAGGCAGTGATTTTAATTTTTAATTTTTTAAATTGTGTTGTACCTTTACAATAATTTTTAGTTAATTTACTTTTTTATAATTTTTGGTGGAATTTTTTTTAAATTGAAACTTTTTTTTATTATTTTATTTTATAAATATTTCAGCCAATTATTTCCTTAAATCATAATATGATTGGCTGAAATATTAATAAAATAAAAAGAAGTTTCAATTTTTTAAAAAAAAACTTAAAATTTGTAAAAAAAATTAAAAAGCTAAAAATCCTACATTTGCGGCGAATTCACAACACAATTTAAAAATAAAATAAAAACTAAAATCGCTGCTTTTGCAGCGATATACTTAAGAAATAATAAATAACTAAAATCGGTGCAAATGCAGCGATTTTCAATTCATATTTTTTTTAAAAGAATACTAATTTAACTAAATCGCTGCAAATGAAGCTATTTAAAATACACAAATAAAAAATTAAAACTTAACTAAAATCGTTGCCTTGACAACGATTTGTTAAAAAAAAATTTAAAAAAAACAATAACAAAAATCGCTGTGAAGGCAGCAATTTCAAAATAAAAATAAAACTTGTGGAATATTGTTGCTCGAGTAGTGATTTTGCGCCGTCAAAATGTCAGTAGCGATTTTATTATTTTGGTTAAAAAATTTGATATACTCTTTTGAATTTTTTGTCAACTTTTTTTGTCCTTTAGGCTTCGAACTCTATTTTTTACCCCACTTTTAAAAAAATAGAGTTTAAGAAAGAAATTTCTTTCAATTAAATTGACTATCTTTGAAAAAGAACTATTAATATTAGAGTTTTGTCACTTATAATTAAGTTTTGATGTTTTAAAATTATCCTATTTGATTCATAATTAAAAGGAAGTTAAATTTTTATTTTTATTATTCTGCAAATTAAAAATTTGAACAAAAAATTTTGTTGATCAAGAATAAGGTATTAAAGTACCCTCAAGTCTCATAATCGTAGCATGATCGCTTGATTAATTTATATATGAATTGAAATTATTTTTGAACATTTTACGTTTATAAGCCTAAAATTGCTTATGTTCCACTTTTTTTAAAAAAAATTGTTTAAACTTTGTTTTAAAACTTCTTATTTTATGAGTAGGTGGGGGTACCGACAATAACACTTTTCAGCCTCGTCAGATTACTGATTTGTTTGTGTGTCGCTCCTAAAATTCACATAATGCACTTCAAATGGTATTTTACTATTATCAACCTAATTATGCTCCTAATGATTTAATTAAAGTGCTCCTTTTTTTGTTTTCAAGAAAAGGCCAAAAAGGCCCATTTTATTTTTTAAAAATCACACCTCCTTTATATGGTCTTAATTAAGTCCTAACAATATAATAATTAATTATCAAGTCATATTTAAGACCATTAAAAATAGAAATATTAAATCTATTTGAAATAAATTTAAATAAAATACTTTTGGATGTATCCATGGAACCATATAAAGTTGATATTACTACACTAGAAACTAAAATCAGTAGAAATGTCTATTTTTCTTTTACCATTACTATATATAGTAGTGATTCACCATTAAAACTATGAAGTTTTCAAACCTCACTTTTTATATTAACCTATACATTACTATTTGTTTGCTAAACGTTTATCGTTTGCAATTAACTGAAGCCAATGTTCAACAATCAAAGTTAATTACAGAGATTTATAACATAAACGTATTGATTTAATATAGATTCATCACTCAAAAATATCCAAAGAAAGTTACCAAAAGAGAAAAAGTAACTTATTCAATAGAACTCATTCAAATATTGATTGATTATATAGCGTAAAATTAAGTTTTATATTTTAATTAAAAAACAAAATAAGAGTTGGACTTTTAGGCATGTAAAAAATAATCACATATTATATCAATTGTATTTTAAATTTAGCAATATAAAAAGTTCAAAAACTGTCAACGTTTAGCACTTAGAGGTTTATATATATACTAGGTAGACCTGGCCCGTGCAAGCATGGGCCCAACATTGAAAGATATTTGCAAGCTAAATGCTTGTATATATAGCAAGACATACATATTTCGTTCACATGTTGCACTATATAGTGTTGCATTTTGCCTACATTATGATATTTGAAAAAAAGTATCCGCAGATAATGGAAATTTAGTTCAGATTCAAAGTAGAATATTTAACTATACATGTCTTCTTATAGCAAGTCAAAGTTCCATTCACATCAATCAAAGTTTTAATCTAATAAATCTCTCTATCTTTTCCAGTAGCTTTGTAATAACCTGCAGCAATTGTCCAATTTGTCCTCAACCCTGTTGGAAGCATTCTGGCCATCAGAAACAAGAAGAATATGATAAATCACACCACAAAGGAAGAAAATATCTGGACTTAAAGAGAGAAGATAACATACCCGTGGTGCAAGTACAATAGCACAGAAGAGAATTCTCAAGCTCTTCCACAAAAATTAAATTGAGAATCATGAGGTCTCAAGTAGAAATTCCAGAGGAGGCAAAATCATTTTATAACTTTGACCATAATTAAGATAAGTGGACAGAGTTAGCCATGAGGAGCACGCACGCTGGAGCAGAATGAGAGACAAACTACTCTGATTTTAGAACCTCTTCTCTTCTTTTTGGAGATAAAGATTCAAATACTACAACTCCTATCTTTGTCTTATCACAAAATGTTTGATAGTTAGTCAACCATGCTGTTGAATGCCTTGAATCAGACCCGTTACAGAAGAAAGGATGGGGTCTCGCTGCCCGGTCAGCGAGTCGGGGGGTCCAGGGGGGCGACGCGCCCCCTAGCTTGGGGGTCTGGGGGGCGGAGACGCACTATATATAGACGCTATGTCAAATCCTATTCTGTAATTCTGTTCTCGCATCTCCATAATAAAACTGCTCCCCCTCTTCCCGTGGACATAGCCAATTTTTTGGTGAACCACGTAAATCTGTTGTCTTGTTTTTCGCGTTTATATTTTCTCGAATTCCGCACAACAAATTGGTATCAGAGCCTCTCGGTTAATCGGTGTTCTTGAAGAATTTGAGATGTCTGCTTTGAACGTGAAAATCGACAAATTCACAAGGAGGAACAGTTTCAGTTCATGGCAGATCAAGATGCGGGCTTTGTTGAAACAGCAAGGCTTCTGGGCGCCGTTATCGAAAGATAAGAACGCCGTCGTTACTCCTGAGAAAGCACACTCGACGATCATGCTGTGTCTCGCGGATGACGTCATCACGGAGGTCTCGGATGAAGAGACTGCTGCTGATCTGTGGTTGAAGCTGGAGAGTTTGTACATGACAAAATCTCTAACCAACAAGCTGCTTCTAAAACGACGTCTATTCGGTTTACGAATGGCTGAAGGTACACAACTCAGGAAACATTTAGAGGAATTGAATACTTTGTTATTAGAATTGCGTAATATCGATGTGAAGATCGAGGATTAAGATGCTGCCCTGATTCTGTTAGTATCTCTCCCAATGTCGTTTGAGAATTTTGTTCAATCGTTCATTGTTGGAAAAGATACTGTGTCGCTGGAAGAAGTCAGATCGGCCCTTCATAGCAGGGAATTACGGCATAAGGCTAACGGCACAAGTACGGACATACAGCCTTCCGGTCTGTTCACCAGTAGCGGAAAGGGAAGGAAAATGGCGGAAAGAAAAATAAGACGATGTCGAAGGGTGCAAAGCCGGATGATGTTTGTAATTACTGCAAGGAGAAGGGACATTAGAAATTTGATTGTCCGAAGAAGAAGAAGCAATCGGAAAAACAATCAGTTTCTGCTGCTGTTGCTGAAGAAGACACCAATTCTGAAGAAGACATTGCCCTAGTTGCGGATGAGCACACTCATCATTCAGATGTGTGGGTTCTCGATTCTGGGGCATCCTATCACATCTGTCCTAGGAGAGAGTGGTTCACGACTTATGAGCAGATAGACGGAGGCAGCATCTCGATGGCCAACAGTTCTGTCTGCAAGGTGGTTGGGACAGGCTCGATCAAGATAAGGACACATGACGGTAACTTCTGCACATTGAACGAGGTCAGGAACGTTCCATTGATGACGAAAAATCTGACATCTCTCAGTTCTTTGGACAGCAAGGGATTCAGCTGGTCGGGAAAAGATGGAGTCTTGCGGGTCTGGAAAGGTTCAAATCTGATTCTGAAAGGTGTCATGCGTGGTACTTTGTATTTTCTACAAGGTTCCACGGTTACAGGTTCAGCCCATGTTGCATCGTCAGAAGTTCACCAGGAGGATATGACTAAGTTATGCCACATGAGACTTGGTCATATGGGTGAAAGAGGGATGCAAATTTTGTCAAAGGAGGATCTTCTTGCTGGTCATAAGGTTAAGAGCCTAGAGTTTTGTGATCATTGCGTCTTTTGGAAAACTACATCGCAACAAGTTTCCAAAGGCCATTCACAGAACAAAAGGCACACTTGATTACATCCATTCTGATTGCTGGGGTCCATGCCGTGTTGAGTCTTTGGGAGGCTGCAGATTTTTTGTGTCCATTATTGATGACTACTCAGGGATGACTTGGGTGTACATGATGAAACATAAAAGTGAAGCTTTCCAGAAGTTCAAGGAGTGGAAAATTTTGATGGAAAATCAAACAGGAAAGAAGATCAAGAGGTTGCGAACTGATAATGGGCTGAAATTCTGCTAGTCTGAATTTGATCAATTCTGTAAGGATGAAGGGATTGCTCGACATCGTACAGTCAGAAATACACCACAGTAGAACGGTGTAGCTGAGCGGATGAATCAAACACTTCTG